ACGTGCCCATCAAGGCCACGCAGAAAACAATCACACTGGAGATAGGCAGCATAAAAGTTGGAGCAGACTCGTGCAAAAAGGCTGCCCAGGTCATAAACTTCTTCAAAGACAACAAAGGGAAAGGAAAACTTCCGTGCACGCAAAGCGACTTCAACACCGGCGACTTTCTAAACACGCCGCAGTTCCTCATCCAGGCATATGTCTTTGAGTACATCACGAGCAAGAGCGACGCCCTGGACTTTGCAGCGTGCGTGCACGCCATCCTCACAAGCCTGCCAGAAGACAGCTGCAAAGACGCATACAACGCGTGCTTTGTGGAGAGCAAGGCAGAGGCCAAGGAAGACGAGCTTCTGCACCCGCTTAGAATGATTCAGACAAAAATGAAGATTCTACAGACGTTCCCGTTCGTCAGCCCGAGCATGCTGCCGGCGTACACAAGCGTGTATGCCTGTAAGAGAGGCCAAACAGAGTTTCTGAATGAAACCTTCAGCAACTGCGTGGAGACCGGCCTGTTTGCGCTCTTCTGCTGCCTTGCACACGACCCAGGCCAGAATAAGTACGACGCGGACGCCATGCTCGGCAAGAAAAAAGAGGGTGAGGAAACAGAGGCCCTGCGCGCCTTCTTCGGGTTGAAAAGTGTCAGCCCAAAGGTGTGCGCCACCAAAGAGACAATGCAGGAGTGGAACCGCGTCGTGTCTGACCTGCAGAGCGAGCACATCGCGTACAAAAAGCCCAGCCGAAACGAAGTGCGCTCCGGAATTTTTAACGCTCTTTACGTTGTCGCAGAGGCAGCAGGCAGGCAGAAGGAAGAGGAGCCAAGGATACGCGAGCTTGCACGGATGCTAGAAGACTCCGAGATTGGCAAGACCTATGGAGACGTGTTTGAAAAAACAAAAAAGTACGTGGCAGAGCTTTTCGCGTCTCTCTCCGTGGATAAGAGCCTAAGAGTGGAATTCTCCGACTTGAAGGTCGACGCCCGGAGCGACAGGCAGAAAGACCTCTACGGGGAAATCACCCTAAAGTACACAGACAAAGACGGCGTGATAGAGCAGGGCATATGCCTTGCCTTTAAGCCTGGACACCTTACAGTCACCCTGTGTCCGTGGGTCTTCCTTTCTCTTAACAGCGAAGAAAAAGAGGCCTTCTTTGCGGTGGACGGCTGCCCAGAGCCCGAGGCCTTTGC